AAAATTTGAATATCATCGATACAGAGCTATAACTCGGTAATTCTAACTAAAAAGAAGACTTACCCCTTGGTACAGTGTCTGTTTAAGATCAAAGTACACGTATCCTGACTCAGCTGTAAAATTGTCAGCCTTGGAAGTCTTGTCCTCATCCAGCAACTCACATCTTGCATCTTTCATCTGACACGCCTTACAACGACAATCTTGGACACAATGACGGTAACACTTGACTGGATCATCAGTGGTGATGTTGTTGTATGAGTATCCTTTGAGATGTTTTCCATGGAAGATGTCCTGGGACTCTGGGAAAAGTCGTCCAGAATAGCAGGTGCCAATGCAGTGAGATTGACTTTCAACGAAAACAATTTGCAAGCTCGCTATTATAGGAACGGCATATTGGACCTTCATGATTCTTGAACGTTTTGGAAGCGACACTTGGGCAAAATAGAATGTTTRTAATCGTGATTCTTCAGGTTTAATATAMGTTCGTGATGATTGCGTTAAAACTCCACTAATGGCGAAGGTCTTATGACACCTGTAAACGGCTGAAGGGCATGCGCGTTAACTTCTCATGAAATATTCAGTRTTAATGCAATTTTCCTTGTATATTGACCAAGGATTTTTCAAATTCGTAAATCAGTCCTCGAGTGCAAGAGAAGTTGCTCGTGATCACTGAAAAGAAGAAATAGCTAGACTTTGTTACTTGTTTTTATTTGATACATTTTTCYCCATATTTTACATGCATGACGCGAATGTGAAAAGATGTCAAAAGAAATGACATTTTGACAAGAGATGAACTTGATACAACTTTTCAGTGACAAATTAAATTTGATAGCAAACTGTTTAGTCGTGTGCATGGATATCAATATTTAAGTTAGAAGTAAAGTAGGAGTGTTTTTCTTTTGTTAAATATGCATGATATGAATTTTTTATCGCTTAAATGAAGAGTATTATTATTATTATCATCACTAAAGTCTGATAAAGATCACATATATACTGGCTATATTGGTATTACAACACTCAAATTTTACAATGTTATTATAATATATAGCTATAAGTGAAATGGAGCAATTACATTGTGACTGTTTTGACTCTAAATTCACCATTATCAAGACTTAGCAGGCGTTTTTTACTAGGTAAAAGTCCTGCGGCGAAATTAGGAATTCTGCCAAAGTTTCTTCACTCAGCCAGAGCCATTTAAAGWKKGTCTCAATGGGGTCAATCGTGAGCCGTGAAACGGCTGAAAAATYAGTCGTGAGTCGTGAAATGGAGAAGAAATTAGCCGTGAGTCGTGAATATTTTTTTAAAGCGTGAGCCGTGATTCAGTTTTGTTCCTCAGAATGACAATCAACTCCAGGCGCGCGCTTGTAATATTTTTTTCTATTTTTATTTATTTATTTTGTTTTTTAATTTACAAAATAAAAGCTCTAGTGGAGATTTTTTTAAATTTTGCCTTGTAAGAATTTTTTTCCGGCCGTGCTGGATTTTTTTGCCAATATCTTCCACTCCCCCACCCCTTCAAAATTCTAATGATTCGTGTAAAATGGGCTTTATCCCACTGTAAGTTGGGTCTTGGGTTACGTCGAGGCACTCGCTTTTAGCAATACGGGAGGTACTCCAAGTGACGACTCAAGTAGGCACACAACAGGTTTATTGTACTCAAAAGGTCCTTACAAAAACTCTCCAGAGCTAGGTAAACTAACCCTTTTTATACTAATGTTACGTCACTCTATGTAAGATTATATTTACATAACTGGGCGTATTTCCCACAAGTTATAATATCAAAAATATATAACCTTAAATCGACGACTGACCCTAATAAAGGTACAATATGGAAAATATAAGAAAAGCTAAACATTATGAAAAATTTGAAAATGGAAATAAGAAAGTTATTTAAAAATATGAAACTATCAAAGTTGATGTCATTCGCACTTAATTATCGATTTCGAAATTCCCYTAAGTAAGCAGAATTCAAGTGCGCATGACATCGGAAAATGTACGATAAACAAATATTAAAGGGATTAGTCCAGATCTATAGCGCACGTACGAGGCATTGTTTGAAAGTAATTAAAGGTAATCAAAAGTTCCGAAACAGCAAAAGTGTTAAACAAATATTTGTAAAATGTACAGATTCAACGATCTGTAAAGGCCGAATTGAAAGAGATGTACAAAAACAATAAGTGTTTTATTAAAAGTTTTAGAAAGAATTTTAAATGAAAATTTAAGTAATATTTAGCAATATTACATTCGCACCTACCAACAAGTCAGAAAATTACAATGTCCTGCAGACAAGCCAGGGCATGGACAAAATTTGGCATTTGAGAGTGATGATAAAAAAAATATAATTGCTGAGTGTCTRTAACGTACAAGGGGACACTGTGCTCCAACGCTTACCATCACTAGCACAAAACAAATTACATGAAAAAGTAATGAAAAACGTTGTTTTCATTTCAAAAATTTCTGAAAGTAATCTAGTTAACCGTGATTCGAAAAAATTAGTCGTGTGTCGTGAAATTGCGAAATTTTTAGCCGTGAGTCGTGATGCGTACTACCCCATTGAGACCCTCTTTAAACGACATGGAGCCGCTAATATAAGCAATTAATGTTTCTTGGAAGTATATTCACGTGTCCAGCGTCTTTTTTCGCACTCTTCTAATTCTCGTTGTTGGGTTTGCATTCTCATTATCGTATTTTGCTAAATGGTTTAGTATTTTTTATTTGAACCCTGCTTTTGTGTCAGTGATATTCTCAATGAACAGATCTAGCAACTTCTAGTAAAGTTCTAAAAAGATGTCTACTGTATGTCTTTACATGCAATTCGGACAACAAGGACATGTGGAGATGCTCTAGAGAGGCTAAGAAAACAATATCTGTTCGCTGTGTATCAGAATAAGTTGATTTGATTCCAGTTTCTGAGTGGCCAAACGTATTCAGTASTCAGTCTTTTAAATTTCTTCCCCTAACCAGAACTGAGTAGTCGAGCTCTCTTTTTCGGTGCATTTTGTTGTRTTGATATGGGGRTCGTAGTAACCAAAATTATCTTCGCCTCCCGTGCATCCAATACTAGTCAAACCACAYCTTCCCGATCYTACACAGTCAATATGAAAATGCCAAGTTCCCTTCTTTTGCCACACWTCTGCTCYCTGGTTAAAAAAGTCTTTGCCTCTGATGTTAATRYGAGCAAATKTRAAACATTTTCCTCCAACATCACCAAAGTGAATGATGTCATAGTCACGCAGGTAACCAAGGAGATAGTCAGGAACCAATGAGGATCTGMGAGGAAAKTCACACGTGACTCGAAACATAGTGGACTTTGATCGAATGTACTKTATGAAGCYCAGACCWTGGCGATGGTCATCCCAGTTTGGATYGT